CAGTTCAAGACGTATGTAAATGTACTTAGTCATATTCCTCCAATGATTGTGTGTGTGTGTGTGTGTGTGTGTGTGTGTGTGTGTGTGTGTGTGTGTGTGTGTGTGTGTGTGTGTGTGTGTGTGTGTGTGTGTGTGTGTGTCTACAGCCACCCCCTGGGCTGCGTGTCTTTGTAGTAACTGTGTGGAGACGCGAAGCTGCCGGACTTGTGACGGTGCATCAGAGACCAGAAAGAGTTGAAGAGCATGAGCGGCAGAGGCCTCTCCTTCGCTGCCTTCCCCTTCCTGCTGCCGGCTCGGTCTTTAGCCCACCTCCTCCCTCTGTCCCTCTCTATCCCAGCTCTGGTCTTCCTGACCCACCCCCATCCTCTCTCCCTCTCCCCTTCCGTCCCCAAACTTCTCTTGCTGCCTTTCTTTGTCCCGATCACTTTCTGTTTGTCTCCTTCCCGCTTCCTCCCCGCTTTGCATCTCGGCTGATTCTCCCTCTCTCCCTCACCTTCGAGCGGTTTGACGATCTGGAGTTTGTCGGGGAGGTAGGGCCCCCGAGTGGTCCAAAGGTGGAGGTTCCCGAGGGACATGATGCTTTCCGAGGGGGTCATCCCACTCTCCTGGCCCATGGCGTCGTGTAGACCTTCGTTTCCTCCTCGTTTCCGAACCCTCTCCTCTTCAAAGAAGCGCCTCTCGCTCAGGTTGTTTTGTCGACGAAGAGAAAGGCGGCGCAGGGCGAGACGAAGGTCCTCCGCTCCCGCTGCCTTCTTCTCTCGACCCTCTGAGCTGCTGCCAGAGAGAAACAGAAACCAATGTTACTCAATTACATCATTAGAGACTCTTCCCAGCCCAACCATGCATTGTTTATCCCCCTACTGTACGTGGCACTCGCTCTGGGACACGCTACCGCAGCCTCCCGGGTAGAACCAACAGGACCACGCACAGCTTCTTCCCTTCAGCAGCCAGACAGCTGTCAATGAACTCCACGCTGTCCCACACTGCTTAGTGTTGTTGTGTGCTGTGCTGAAGCGCATTGATCCTTATACTGTATTTACCCTCAGTGTATTTATTCTTATTTATACATTTTACATTATTTACCTTTATTTGTATCATTTATTTTGTTCAGACGGCTGATTGAAGTGTATTTAACTGACTGTTTGCACTCTGGTTAGACCCTCCTAATTACGTTTACTCCGCTTGCATTATGTAATGAAAATAAAGTAATCTAATCTAATCAATTAATGAGGATACATTTCATGTATCATTCTGTTGATGCACATGTAGTTTTCCACAAATGGAGCAGAGCCTGCGAGCTAGTTCATGCAATCAACTCGGGCACAAATGATGCATACACACGAGGATATAACTCTCATACAACCAACCAAACACATCCTGCTACACGTGGGATGCGTATAGGCTATACAGTAAGTGAGTTGTCTGAGTGAACCAACATTTGAATAATCCTCAATCCTCATTTTAAGGATCCCTGAGAGGAAAGTCAGGGAAACAGGTGAATATTTTTGGTGTTGTTGTTAAGTGTTGTTCTTGTTGTAACTCATTTGCACTACTAACCCATGTTCTGAATTGGAGAAAATGCATTCATCTTGTCATTTAAATTCAAATGCACTTAGACTCTTGTGGCTTGAAATGAGTATTACAAAGAAAGACAAAGAAAACATCTCCAAAAAAGTTTTTTTCAACTATATTTACAACAACAAAAAGAAACCTAGAAAAATGTGATTGCAAGTCTCGTTCTTTAACCTGGCAAAAAAAGAAAAGTTCATTTGTTGTCCAGATATAAAAATAATCTTAAAGAACTGAAAGCCAACATCGATCACTTTTTTTTAATTCCTTTTCTAAAACACAGAACAGTAAACAAACAAGGTTAGACTTAGTAAATAAAACATTCCCTCTTGCCTCTTATGCATTACATAAATTAACAACTCCCCTTTTTGCTGATGCCGATGTCTAAATGTCCTCAAAATCATCTTCCTCTCTACTGTATTAACTGCATGAGCCCTGCTCCCCCTCACCTGTCCTGATTGGCTGCCTTCTCCATCAGGATGCTCTGCGTTCGGTTGTCGAGGGCGACGCTGTCTCCGCTGACGTCTCCACCGTACATGCTGCTGTACGGCGTGGAGAGGCCGCTGGACTGTGGAGACGTGCGGGCCGACAGAGACTGGTTGGACCCCGGGATGTTGCTGGTCGGAGTCAGAGAGCGCTGACGGACCGTCTGGTTCACGTTCTTCACCGTCTCAAACACACGCCTCCGGTGGACTCTGAACACAACCCAACACACGAGAATTAGCCAATACTGGGTGCGTTTAGTGAAGGGTTGCTATTTGAATGTTTGCAAGCTTTTACTCTTATGCTGCATTCATGTGATATGAGAGTAATCCAGAAAATGTACTTCTCCAATGGGAAAATGTATATTAAATGTCTCCTATCATGCTATTCTTAGGTATATATTATGGGTCTCAGATACAAATATATAAAAAACATGTCTATGATGTGTGGAGAATTAGCCAATAATGGGGGCATTAAGATAAGATAGGACTTTATTTATCCAGAAGTAAATTGTTGTGCCAGAGTTACAAAGACACAATAAACACAGCAGCATAATAATAAAACTGTACCCTAACGGTGCAGTAAAAAGAGCAATTAAATATCTACAGGAAACAGATGGTCACATAATTAATGTAAATATTAACAGTATTTAGTAGTGCAAAAAAACATAGTGGCAGCTATGTAATTGCACGTTATTATAGAACATTATTAATAATAATGATATTGCACATGTTGTATAGCAGAGTGTTTTGTAATGATGGTAATGGTATTTATATTACACATAGTGTTGGTGTGGAAGTTCTCAGTTCCCTCTACTGTTATAGAGCTTGATGGCCACTGGGAGGGAAGACCTCCTGTGAGGCTCCGTGGTGGTCTTCGGTGGTCTCATTCTACAGCTGAAAATGCTCCGGTAGGAAACCAGTGTGGCATGCATTTAGTGAAGGGTTAGTGTGTGTATGTGTGGCAAGCTTTTACTCTTATGCTGCATTCATGTGATATGAAAATAACCCCCAGAAATGACTTTGCCAATTGGAAAATGTACATTAAAACCCCTTGAAGTCGGTACAACAACTAAGAAATCAGTGAACGCTTTGGTAGTTGAGTTAACCACATATTACGCAAAACAAAAATGGTAAATGTTCTGCAAATGCCAAGAAACGTTTAATTAACTCATGTAAACCATATACAGTTTGTGCTCATATGTTTGTATGTTTCTGTCCATGTTGAGAGACTTTTATTAGTTAGAAATTCATTTTATTAGCATTAACTCCGAAAACAAGCCAGGTTAGGCAATATTTGAGTGGTTTTAGGGAATATTCTGATGCAGCAACAGGAGCGAGACACAATCACTAATATAAACAATATTAACAGCTACCAACATGATGTTTAAACACTCTGTGCAATATAATACAACACATCTTCTTTGAGGCGTCCATGTTGTTTCCGTATTACAGCTTAAAGCTCACATGACTTCCTAATTATATTTATGTAAAGCTTGTTTTGTCTAAAATACATCCAGAGATTACAGAGCTGCAGCAGACTACCCACTGTTTAAATTGCAATTTTAATTCTCCAAAACATATTTTTGAAAAGTTAAACATCCTGGAAAAGGCTACCTGATCACTTGAAATCTTCACCACTTTTAAGAGAGCTACCAAACCCTGGTTGATTCAGCAAAGAACCTGTCCTCAGATCTGGCTTTTAAATGTAATGTTCAAAATGTGTTTGTGATTGGATCGCAATCTATTCTGTAAAACGTCACTATTTAAATCTTCTTGCTTCATAAAACTCCTTTTAGTTAGTGACAGCTGTTGCAAACTAGCATTAGCTATACACACAATGATAGCAGATCAAATTGCCTATGTTTATGTATGTGTGTTGCAGTTGTCCATACCAAGTTCACGATGAATAAAAGCAAATAAAATAACAAATGGGACCATCTGAAGAGCTCACGAATGCAGCATTAGTCCATACGTACTTCTGTTCCTCGCACTCGGGGTCATCCATACTCAACTCCTTCCTCATCGTTCCCTCGATCTCTGCTGCCAGAGAATCCTGAAACACAAACAGTCCATGTGAACAATTGGACAACAATCATGCACGCACGCACTCACGCACGCACGCACGCACGCACGCACGCACGCACGCACGCACGCACACACACACACACACACACATACACACACACACACACACACACACACACACACAGCGAAACCTATATTTCGCAATTGTACAGGTGTACATTACATGTCACTATGTCATTAAACGCTCCACCCATTAGGGATAGTTTGACGTTGACTATTTATGGCCATTATTAAATGGAAAAACTGACAAATGGTTACCACATTTGATCGGGAACTGGGCTAACAAGAACATACACATTACCATTTTTACAACATAACAAAAAATTCGCATGGACCACTTTTAATAGTTATCCAGGGTTAAATATCAGGGGGTGAAATATATAATTTTTTCAAAAATTCGAACAAACCAATGCAGGGCCCGGAGCACCTTTCACCTTTCATTGCTGATGACTGGGTCTGGTCAAAACAAAAACATTTTATCCTTCAACAGAATTACTTTCGGACGTGATTTAAATGCCGTTGTTTGTTCGGTGTTACGTTATTGGTTTTCCGGTGTTTTCCGTTGGCCAAAATTTATTGTTTTGTTTTCCTTGATTTCCAATCTGAGAAATTTATTCTTCGAAAGTGTTCATTATTTATATGGATTTGTATTTGATTTTTGATGTGTTTGTGTATTTGGTTTGTCTCTTTGGACGTTGAAGATTCACCTTTTTCCTTATCCCGGATTTGCTTTTATCTGGTATTTGTTTTTGTGTCGGACACCCATTGTTCAATTGGTGTTCAAAATTTGCAACATGAATTTCTATGTTGTCTAAGGTTTATTGTATTTACGTTTGTGTATACGGGTGTTTGCATCAATTGGGTTGACCCAAATTGTCTTGAGTGTGTCTTTGATGTGTCTTGATTGTGGACTCTTCATGGCTCTCTTGCGGACTGTTTTGTCTAAGTTCTTGGGAGACACTGGTTGACTCTTACGTGTGTAAGAACATTGTCAGGGGGCCTTCCACACTACGCCCCTAACCTCTCAGGCCCGGGCTGGACGAGGTTAGGGTCTTAGAAGCCATGGACGGGATGGGACCCCCTCCCTGTTTTTTCGGACGCGGTTTTAGGTTACCACAGGACCCGTTGCCGTTTGTCGAGGTATATGGTATTATTGTGTGTGTGTCGAGTGTTCTGTTCCAATTAGCTCGTTCTTATCTATCCGCCCTCCGGCCTTGTGAACACTAACGTGGTAGGCCTTACGAACCCTCAAAGAGACATGAGGACACATCACTGTTATTTCCTTAGATTAGATAGATTAGATGTATACTAGCCGAGAAACGAATAAATTTGGCGGGACACCCCCCCGACAAAGATCCAACGTCACCCTCTTACTTCCTCGAAAAGGGTTGTTGGAACCACCGTTTCGATTTCTACGGGTTCCGGCGGAGTGTCGCGCTTCCATTGAAGGTGTTTTTTTTTATTTGTTAAGGAGCGAACGGGTCCAAGTTTGTTGTTTTGTTTAACTGTAGTTATTCTATTAAACTTTATGCAGACGGAACGATTGTCGAGGTCCTCAACCTACTCTTCATGGACCTCCATAGCTCTACGAACCGTACTTCGAGTCCTCCCTCCGAAACTTCTTGGAACTCCTTGTCTTGAGGACGTCCTTGAGCGGCGCGGTAGGAGACCCTGGATTTGGGCTACCACTCGCTCACACACACACACACACCACAACACACAACACACNTAGCAAGAAGGCTAACTACCTGTAGCAACACCAGTGCTATATTTAGCTTCGTCTGGTCCATAGACTGGTCTGATCCTGACGTTTAAAAAGGGAGGCAGGGGAAGCTAAATATAGCACTGGTGTTGCTACAGGTAGTTAGCCTTCTTGCTAAACCAGCTCCTTGAAAAAGAGCAGGCATACTGCCTTCCTCTGTCCTCTAACTCTTGCCTATGTCAGGCTGATCAGGTCCGAGCTCTGTTACTCTCAGCTTTCCCTCCAGTGTCCTCCTCTCAAAGGGGGTTTCTTTAAGTGATTAAATATCATTTTCATGCTCCATATTTGTTATCTAGTTTTGTATACACTCCGTCTCCATCTAACTCTCTCTCATTCAAACGTCAATCTCTCACTCTGGAGCTCCTGCTGCCCCTTAGTTGTTGGCGGTGTCAACAGCTGCTTTGGGCGCAGTTTGGTGTGCCCCGAGCTGCTCCTATCTGTTGCATTGAAGAGGTACGGACTGCACATGCACCACTTATAACGAGAGTCAATGGCCAAAGATTTCTGCGCCCCAAATAGGAAACACGTGACTTAACGGTAAACAACTTTCATATCGTCTGATAGCTGAGTTTCTACCCGTTAAGTGGGTATAACACATTAATAGGTTGTTAAATGTTAAGAAGCCCTGGTTCAGTGGTTCTTGCAAGATGTTGCCGGTGCAACAGGTTAAAAAAGAAATGTTCAAAAAATTGTTTTAATTAAAATATTAAAATATTTTGAATGACAATTCCCACAATGTGGGAAGAGGGGGTGGCGCCCCCATGGGCTGGCCGCCACTGGCCGCATGTCATCCCCTCTGTCTTCCCCTGTCATAGCTGTTTGCTGGTTGCCCAAACAAAGTATTAAAAAAAACTCTTATACGACCACCTGGGTCAGATAGCATAGCTCACACACAACCCACACGGTCGTTTTGTGAACATAAGCAAAGTATAATGTTTCATTTCCTTTAAGTTAAGTTAAGATAGAAAAGGTGTATGAAGCAAGCTGCAGCCTGGCAGCTGACATGGGGCCTTTCATAAAGTGGAGAGCTGTCATCACAGCCGCATCTCCTTGAAGTGCTAAAGGAACACAGTACCTGAACATATATGCAGTTCCACAGACACACACAGACACGTGAGGAGTTCTATCCTGAGATATGTGGTGCTGGAGTGGAGTTACTGTGACAGTCTGGAGTTGATACGATGAGACCCTGAGGGCTGAGGCAGAAACTAAAAGACATTACTGTTCTGACAAGGTCATCCACAGTGACACACAGACACACACACACACACACACACACACACACACACACACACACTGAGGTGCACTCTGTTAAATGTGCCATCACACTCGTTGGCTCGTTGTCATCTCTGTAGCACTAAACCATGCCTTTCTTGTTCTCTACTTTTGGATTGAGATCAATCATTTATAAATTATTCAAAACTTTACACCAAAACTCATGAAAATATGTCACCCTTATTCTTTCCAGTGGTGGACTGTATCTAAGAACATTTACTCAAGTACTAATTTGAGGTACCTTGACTTTACTTGAATTTTTTTTTTTTTGCCACCGATATCTTATGACTCGTCACTTTACTTTTAAGTTAAGAATTTTACGTAAGGAACATATGAAGAACAAAATATTGAACAACATATCGTATTACCTGAAACAATTAGTGGGTTGACCAAAAAAACAACTGCCTGATTCAGATCAGTCATTTTATGCTTAAATACATTTAATGGTTCTGGCTTCGCAAATTTGAAGAGTTGCTGCTTTTCCTTTTAATTATTTTAATTTATTTTTGATATGGAGATCTTCTGCAATTAGCACTTTTACTCTCAACACTTTAAGTGCTTTTATTTAAAGAGGTCCTATTATGCTTTTTGGGGATTTCCCTTTCCTGTAGTGTGTTGTATAGGTTTTTGTGCATGTAAATGGTCTACAAAGGCTCTAATCCCTGCGTTCCCTCCAGAGGAACCCCACCCCCGCCTGAAACACCTCCATGGGACTCCTCAATTTACTTCTGGGAGATAATGACATCATTATGTAACACTTGCACTTCTATTGGCTAGCGCTCCAACACATTGTATGTGATTGGTTAGGGGCTTGGGACATCTCTAAGCGGTTGACCAATCACAACAGAGCCAACCAGCTAACCAATCAGAGCAGACTGGGCTCTGGTTTCAGACAGAGGGTGAAAAGAGGTGTGAGAATGAGAAAAATAAAGACCTTTTTGAACATTTAAGCATGGAAACATGTCACAGTAGAGGCACTAAATACAAATATGAACCTGAAAATGAGCAGAAGGACCCCTTTAAATACTTAAGTACCATTTTTAAGTGTAGTATTGGTACCCTTACTTGAGTGAAGGATCTGGATACTTTTTGCCACCACTGGCTCTATTCCCTCCCCTCCTAAATCCCTTCTGAAGTGATTAAGTGTGAGTCTGACAAGTCACTTTCAACCAATTATTAAATAGATTATATGCCAGTATAAAGATACTTTGCTTTAGTTTCCTAATTGGCCATTAGATAGTGGAAGTTGATGGTCCTTGGTCCATGGTGCTTCCACTGAAGGGGACGGGTCGATACGTGAAGCCGCAGATCTCAAAGAGGACAGAAAGAGAGGGACGAGGGAAGTGGCCGATCAGACGTCTGGGTGAAAAGCTATCTGTCAAATGAAGCAATATAGTGCCTCGAGTACCATCTGTTTTTGATCATTTATGTTCCTCATGAGGGTGTGAAAGAGCTGTCACAGCCATTGTGTTTATTTATTTAAAAAGATCCTATGAATATAACCTATTTTTCTTTTTTTTAAAGTGTTTTCTCACGTGTGCTCACTGTAAATACTGTTCATTGTCACTAAACTGTCGGTACTGACACACTCATAAAGATATGTGTAGTGCATAAACACGAACCACACATCACTGTAAGTAATGCGGTTTACATGTAATGAGGCTTTTTTTTTCCAAATACAAATACAGTTATCAAATTTAACTTAATAGCATGATTCTGTGTGTTTTTTACCCTCCACATGTTATTGTGACTCATTCAAGACACGACAGTCCCAGACAGGAAGTCCTTATTTAGCCTCATCCAGCAGATGGTGCTCATGAATAACTCAGAAAACAGAAAGACAAACATTTTGTGAAATATATGTTGAGTTTTTCCGTCTGTCCACATTGGCGCAGTCATAATCCATTACTCTTTCACCATCTGTATCTCTTGTGCTATGAGGGATAGGATGACGGCTGCTTATTAAACCTCTATTTGTTACAGGGTGAACGAGAGGTGAGCAATAATGAACAAATGCCACTTGAGGCCGCTGGGGAGTCCAATTAGAAGAAATTAGCTCTGTTTGTGAATGCCACAGACGTTTTGTACCATGGATATTTGTCCTCTTAGCTTAACATTTTGCTAATCTTATTTATAACAAGATCAAATCAACATCCACCCTCAGGTACAAATGAAATCCTCTTCTGGGCACAGATGGTCAGATTGTAAGGTGGTGTGTGATGTACCCTCAGAGCCCTGCCTGATATTAATTACCCTCACGAATACTATCTTTAATGCCCAAATTCCAGGCATTCGGCCAGGCTAAAAATAAACCTTGCATAGTCTGTTACAGGCCACATTTTGTCCTGTGACAAATGTTGATCTCATGTTAAACCGGAGCATTTGCGGATTAATTGCATACCAGATATTTAATCATTTACTAAAGTAAGGCCAGATGCAACATGTTTGTTTGTCTCCATCTTGACAGTAAGGAAGCCGAGAACAGAAAGCACTTTTAAGACGACGAGGCCCCTTGATTAACGAATGGCACAACATACAGTAAATGTGTCATTCTATCTAGGGGTTCATTTTCCTTTTGGGCAAAGCTTTTTCTTTACTGTTTCAGCAACTTCCTAGAGCCTTGTTGTCACTGTGAGTTTGCCAGGCATCCAAAACATAAACTACCAAGACATAGTCCAGTGCAACATTCTTTTTTAGCCACCATTTAACCAAATAAGATAATTGTAAATTAGGGGTGGCAGTAGCTCAATCTGTAAGGAATTGGCTTGGGAACCGAAGGGTCGCCGGTTTAATAACAACTGAATTTCAACTGAATAAATGAAGGGTCTTGTTCTCCTTCTAACAGGGTTATACAGGTGCTGATTTTGATTGCTGATTCCCCCTGTTTTCAGTCTTTGTTTCTAAGCTAACCGGTTGCTGGTTCCTATTTGTCACACAGAATGGATTATAAGTGTACTCAAAATGTTGAAAACTGTCTCTTAAATGTGCTGTTTCCTAAATTATAAGCTTTGAAACTTTTGCTGCTATGTTATGTGTTGATGGATGCAAGAAGAAACTATATTATTTGAACAGAGTCCAGAGCATCAAACACAGAAACTGTGCTGCTTTTACCACAAGTTCTACTTTTTCAGATGCCAGTGAACTGCCTTTGAATTGACTGAAGCTTATCTGAAGTTAAAGAATGGAAAGTTGGAGACAAACAGTATTCAGAAAGAAAACAGTACATCGAGCCAGTTTCATAGACAATCCAGGAAGAGCTCGGACCATCTGCTCGTCACCGTTGCTGGATCTTCATTACAGACACACTCTTGGAGCTCATGTTCCTTTCATGAGTGTGTGGCTTTTTCCATTAGAACACTGGACCGGAGCACTTGTATACATGTTTGAGTGTTCAAATCACTCCACGTTTTAGGCTGCACATACATTCGCCTTTGGACCTTTTTTTCACTGGCACACCTATCCACATCCTCACATCTGCTGGCACACACACACACATACACACACACACACACACACACACACACACACACACACACACACACACACACACACACACACACACACACACACACACACACAATCATTGGAGGAATATGACTAAGTACATTTACATACGTCTTGAACTGAAGTACTATTTCACATACTTGTACTTTACTGGGTATACTTCTATTTCACTACATTTTAGAGACAAATACAGCATTTTTCATTACATTTGTTCAACACTCATAGGTACTATCTCATTTTCACATATAAAAAGACATGATATGTTTTATGATATGAAGCAGTTTTTAAACTACTAATCTACCCATTATTACAAAAACAATATGTATTGGCTCCACATTGAACAATAACAACATTAAAATAATATGACAAGTATTTTGCTTCTATGAATTTGGGCCCCTGTCCCTCTAACATCCTCTGCACGCGCAATTGGTTATAAGTCAATACGTTTTTATGTTTAACCCTTCGGTTCGATCACATGTAAATATTTGGGGAAATGAATTGAAAGCTATTTTCCACATTGCACCCATATTTCACCCTTCTTTTACCCATGTTACAATTTAATTACACTGTTATTACACTGTTATTACACTGTTATTACACCCATGTTACACTTTTATTAGACCTAAATTACTTTTGTGTTAGACCCATATTGCACCCACGTAACACCAGTATTACATTGCACACGTAGCCTATGAAATTACTGTATCCCCCCAGGATACTATGACCATTTAAGGGTTTTAAACTGACTTTAGTATTAAGGTACACTTTTTGCTTCATTTTGGAGAGGGCCATATGTAACATCATTGAAAAGCCCCAAGTGTAACGCTCAAGTTTAAATCCAGTCACAGCGTTGTATTATCCCCGTGTGATTCAGTCTGTTTGCCTTTGCTGCCCTCTGCTGGTAATAATTCAAACTTCATTTTATAAGCATATTCTAACCATAGCAAACAATCCATGATACATGTATTTCAACTTTGTCGTTTGCTTCTGTTTACATCCATTTGTTATTTGTGTTCACATCATCGCATTTATTCTTTATGTGTTTCTCTTTCTTTGTGTTTCTTTTCCATTTAATTTTTATTTACAACTTCCTTTGCTCATTCTGTCACTGCTTCCTCTCTCTGTTTCAAATTCACATGGCTGACTAATAAAAACCTTCTCTCATCTCATTTCTCCTCCATTTCATTTTATTCCTCTCCTCTTCATCATATTTTAGTTTTCTTACCATCTTTGTTTGTCATTCTGATCTATGACATTTTTCTCCATTGCTTATTAGAAAAAGGTAAAGTCCAAAAGCCCTTATCCTAGCGCTTATTGTGATATGTTTGCGATATCTATTTTATAACAGCAGAATAATTATCAATTTGTCCTTGCACCAATCACAAAACACATTTTATTTGCATATTGACTGGTTAATGTGCCATTTCATTTGTGTTTTACGACAGCTGTATTCGTCTACCTGTGTTGTTAGACTGCCAAGGCACACA